TTTGTTTTTTTCTGTGGGAAAAAAATTATATGAAACTGACAAAACAATAGCCCTCTCAGACAATCAGAATTCTTTTTTATTGCCTTTGTGAGTAACAGGAAGTCACAAATTAGGAAATTGCTTTGGTGCCAAGTATTTAAAATATACATATAACCACTGTTACAAAATCCGTAAACAAACATTGGTTACCTTGATTTAAAATAGTCTAATGAAGATTTCAGCTCCCCCATTTTTATTTGCTGTAGTTTTTTTTCAGCGATGTGAGAAGAACAAAAACCAATCTAATCGAGTGCAGATTCACAACCCTTCAATAAAGTACAATTTCAAATTCATTTCACTTTTAGTCCACTGCATTTGACTGCATCTCCCAGCCCCTGATGTTGATGCTCCGCTTGGTCAAGACTACTAGAATAGTAGGTCCTGTTCCAATGATGCTAACCACTCAGCCAGGTGCTAACTACTCTGCCACTGTGCCCGCATAGGCCTTTCACACACAGCCTTTTGCATGATCAATTTCAACACTATAATTTTGTTGTACCTATGTAAAAAGAAGTAACATATTCAAAATGCATGTTTTTAAAAAAAAGGAGGTAATTATGTATTTTAGAGTAAATACTGCAGTACTCATCTAAAAAAATATTATAGTTGATATTATATTATTACTAAAATCTCAGAGCTAAAATATAATACCGATGTCAAAGCAAGTCCAGTAACACATTTGATTGTCTGAAAGATCTGAACAGTGCGCTTCGTATAACAATATAAAACCTGTATTCTCTGTCCAATAACCATGGCGACACAGGTACATCCATGTTCCCTGTGCTGACCCTGAAAAACAGTACCTGTAGTAAACAAAGGGAGTGTCTCAATAGGAGTGCGTCTCTAATACTGTATAAATAATAACAAAATCTGTCTGTGGACACGGAGTAAAAAAAATGGTAGAAGATGTGATCCGGTCATCTCCCGCGTGGCACTTCCTGTTGAGCTGGCACAATGCTCTGCTTCAGCCTCTTGGTGAAGGTATGACTGCTGCGGCCACAGTACGTGTGTGTGGTGGATCTGAGAGACGCCTCAAGTGGCTCCAACAGGGTCTTGACCAAATCTCCTCCAAACTGGTACTGTGAAAAGAAATGTTTTGGCCCAGGCATGTCAAACTCAGGCCTGCACATTTGTTTTCTTTTTTTTTTGTAGCCCTTGAAATAAATTCATTGCAGCAACTGGCAGCATTGATGGTAATGGGCTACTATGGCATGTTATACTTCATTTTAAAGTCTATTGTCTCAGGAAATCAACCATATAATTGTGTCTGTTCAAATATATTAAAGTTATAATATAGTTTTTGCTATCAGTCTTCCAATACATCACTTATACCACTTTTATACTTCTGGCCCCAACCAAATCTTATCTTTTTCAAGTTGTCCCACGACCAAAATGAGTTTGACACACCTGTTTTAGTTTATCTAACAGTGTACAAACCAATCTAAACATCGCCCCACGTGTGAAGAGCATTTCTCCCTTTCACAACTGCATGCACTAAAAACATTTTACAGCTTCTCATTTGACCAGTAGGTCCACTTAAAGCGCAATTTCTTTAATATATCCCATACAGCACAGCCATAAACCACTATTAACAACCTCCTATTGATTTTATGTAAACGCTGCTTGTATAGTAAGCACGCAGTCACCCTGATGTCTCAAACTAACACTAAAATTTGACTACTCTTGTGGGCTGGGCGGGATAATGGTGCTGCCCTTTATCGTACTATACACTCGATGCTGGTCTTGCTGGTTGGACTGGGGATGAAACTAATGGATCTATTTTATCCCGTTTTATTTATTTACAAGGAAAGATGGCTGCAGTCTACTCTTCAAAATCTTTTCAAATCTGATCAAAACATAAACACAATCAACATTCAACTCGGATGCATGTAAAAAAATGTTTCTTTTATGACGCAGTGATATAATTGCTCCCGAAAAGCTCTTTGCAGTTTACCTGTCGCAGCACTCGCATTATAGCTAACACTGCACCTGCTAAAACCAGGCGGACAAAAGTGGCAGCGGTCTCCTCTGACTGAGAGACTGATGGAGGCATAAGGGCCCAGTGCCCCATAATGAAAGCAGCTCGTTTACCTAATGGCTGGGAACATTGGCCGCCCTGATAGTGGCTCTCCTCAGGCCCCTGTGAGTCTAATGGATGGACACGGGCTAATGAAGCCTCCTCTGCTTCCCCCGGCCCGCCTCTGCTTTTGTTAGCTGCACAGGAGTCAACACGAGAGCTACAAGACAGGCCACGAGCTCTGACTATTCACTAGGGATGGGAAATTTACATGGGAAGTTAAGATGGATAATTTAGTAAATACGCCATATCTGGGAATTCATTGTAATGTAATTAAATTGTATCATATCCAAGCATGAAGAGGTTTTAAAGAGCACAATTGAGGCAGTTATGTATCTTCTGTCACTTTACCTACTTATTACCCTGTCAGATATGTATATAACTTTGCACTGTATATCCATAGATATTTTGAAAGATTGATATTGAAGCATTTACAGCTAGCTAAGAAACATAGCAGCTACTTATTTTGTGTATTTAGTGTGCTCCCTGTCTGTTCTTACTACTGCCTTGAGCTACGTATAAAGGATCTCTCATCTTATCTTCTGCACATGTGATGGAGGCATGCACACGACCAGTAGGGGGCGTGCTCTCAATGGCAGCGTGCTATGTGCAAGTGATTGACGTCTGACATAGATTTTCAAGTGTATTTGAATGACATCTCTTTGTTATAGTCAAGATTATGCTAAAATATACTTTCCTCAGCAACATTCAAATCCCTAAGAAGAGCCAACCTTCATTATGGAAATGCCCCAGTTTATTCCCCCAGAAAGTTTCTTCGCATTTTTGAAAAGTTTTGCAACCCTACTATTTACTTTTCACAATAGGAAATGCTACTTTACTCACTCTAAAGTACCCAGACGGTGTTGCCTCATGTTTTTTTCTAATCTATGCTAAAACAAAAGGATTGATTGCACGGTTTTAGGGGCCAAAGACACAACTAAATGGCTGATAGTTTATTGACCTGAAACAATGGACGTACCAAAATGCACTGGTACGAAATAGTTATTGATAAAGCAATGACGCTGGGTCTGTTCCGGTTACTGAAAAACTGTCCTCATAGGAAAACGTAGTCAATGATTTTCTGTTTCTATTACTTGGAGTGCCGTAAAATCAAACCATTATGAGAAAAAAAATATACACATGTACCGTTTGGATGGCATTATAAACGGCTCGGAAAGCTGGCTGCTTGTCATCATGGAAGACTCCCCTGTTTCCATGGAGAATGAAGACACCTCGCTGGTCGGCCGTGTGACAGTTGCTTCCATAAATACAGTGATCTGGACGGTAGTTCCACTCGCACGGGAACACAAACAAGCTTTCTGTAACATTGAAATCATATCAGAACACGCATTAGGGACGATATAGAAACAGTATTATAAGAAAAGAATTAACCAATGTTTTTCACATCGATAGGATCAAAGTATTTATCAACATTTATGGACCAATACTGATGTGTTTTCTGTTCTGTTTGATTCTCTGGTCTGTGTTGGCAAATTCAACGGTTGTGTAAAGTCCTCCGAGAGAACTACTGTTGTGATTTAGGGCGATACAAGAATACATTGAAGTGAATTGAATTGAAATGACTATTCTTGTAACTAATAACTGGACAAGTACAGTCTGGACATAATGACACATAAAAGGGTGTAGAAAGAGAAGAATTCCAACCTGGATTATGATGAAATATGATATTAAGAAGGTCCTGATCTCCCCAGGTGATGTTGAGTTTATACTTTTGAAGGAGCGGCAAAAGCATTTCTTCCCATCTTAAAGGAACAGTTGTCATATCGTTCTAGGTGAAATGAGAGAAAACAACACGTATATTGTTCATATGTAAGTTGGTTAAATATTGAGGACCCCAATAAACCCACAAGTCTAATGGAATGCTGCCCTCTACTGGTGATGATTATACATATTCCAAACACACACTGGACTACATTTCTCTTTACCTTAAAGTATTTGGCCCTGATGCGTGTCATGTTCATTAGCATGACCCCTGAGTTGATGCCAGTCTTGCCGTAGTAAGGATGCCGGGCGAAGCGGTTGTACCAGCCGATACGAGGCTCCTCGTGCTCTGGAGCCATAGCTGCTAACTGACTGGAGTTAAAGCTGGACAGAAGCATCCAGATATCCTCCACCGGCTGAAGGAACAGAATATCTGTGTCCACGTAGAGCAGCGAGTCCACATCTTGCAGAAGAAGCTGGGAATGTGCAGACATATATTAGAGCGAGTACGTTTTAAAAAACAACTAGAAAGGAGATAGTTTGAACTTACTGGAAGGAAGAGTCTTTGAGATGCACATGGTTTGAAGAGCTTTTTCCACTCGTGTTCATTGTCATCAGGAAAGGTGATGGGAAAGATGGTGAAATTAAATTTGGTTCTAACCATACGTGGCCACGAGTTCATCTAAAATAGAAAATTAAGTTATTAATATCAATAACATTATATTATAAGAATATGATTTCAGCGTGTTACTTGTAAGAACATACAGCATCTTTGAAGCTGCCATGTAATACGGTTTCTGCAAATATATAAAAGTGCAAAGGGTTTTTGCTGAAGAGGAGAGCAGACTTTAACATAGTCAGAGTTTCTTCAAGCCTGGGACCACAGGCCACAACAGCCAGGTGACTCCACACATCGGGAGGATCCTGGCTCATAATGTCTCTACAAAAACACACATTAAATAAAAATGAGTTCCAGCAGTAGTTATGACTCAAGATTAGGGCTGTGCCAAAGATCAGAACAACTAATGCAGGGGTCTCCAACCTGTGGCTCGGGAGCCACTGATCGTGAATGAGTCGTTGAATTGAGTCGTTTCATATCTATTATTAGGGGTGACAGTAGCTCAGTTGGTAGAGCATTGGCCTTTGGGCTTGGGTTCGATTCCCACCATGGGACCTACTCCAACTGCTCCCACTGATGACTGCTGTCGTTGTGTCCTTGGGCAAGACACTTAACCCCACATTGCCTGAAGCCCCCCGCTGAAAGACCAAGGCTGTTTCACAAATGGCGGAGCAGCCATCTTCCTGTGGACTCACCCCCTGCAGAAGATCAGCGAGGGACTGGTGCTATGAGCGTTGGGTGGCAGCTCTCATTGCCAACCCCCCGACCCAGAAATGGACAAAGGGGTTGAAAATGAAATGAAAAGAAATGAAATATCTATTATTCTTAAGTATTATGTATAAGTATAAATATAGGGTTATACAGTATTATGGTTTATATTATATTATGTGTTGTTACATGTTTTGTCATAACGACTGCAAAAGGGAGTAGATCTCTGCCTCTTCTGTAGTATAAAAGTAGCTCTCAGACTCCTGGTCTAATGTAATGTAATTTTAAGTGTTTTGCCGGCATTTGTAGAAGGATGTGTCACTGGCTGCACAGTTCTCTCAGAAGAGATTAGTATATATATTCATTATAATAATAATACTGAAACAATACTAAAAAACTTTGACTGTGGTTATGATTTACAAATGGGTACATTTGATTACAGTAGTGGCAATAAGATCCGTGTGAGCACAGTCACGTTCATTCAAAACATTGTATACACATTACACACATAATAAAATACATCAACCAACCAACAATGTACTAGAACAAAATACACAAAATTAATCATACCCAAGAGATGTTTCTATTAAGCAGTTGACTCCACACACATCTGTAGGCCATCTCCAATACGGGCTCCAGTATGATACTGACTTACACCTGACAGGATGAAAACACAAACTCTCCTGAATTAACCAGTCCATGAACTGCAGAGTGTAAACTACTATGACAGCAGGACTAGAAATAAGTGTATCGTGTATACATCATCAGTGGACAGAAGAAAGAAGATTTAAATATGTTTTTGCTCTATACTCTATATACAATACATTATAGACATTATTGATTATACTGTAACTATTTTGTTCTCTTACAGTCTCGATTTAACTTTTGCCATATCTCTGGATCTCTTTACTGATAACTGATCACTTATATCCATGTTGCAGTGACAAATCGTTCGCATACCGATACAGCAGGCGTCCAGAGCCCCGGGTTTTCCTGAGAGACAGCCCCGCGCCGTGTCTTGTGTGGACGGCTTTACCATGCCCTCTTCCTCGCTCTTTATCCTCTTCCTCCGCGGTGGAAGCTAACTCAATGAACACGCACAGCAGTGAAAATAGCGTTAAAACAATGCATAGAAATAATACACGGCGGAAACATCGCATTTTGCATTTTAGTGCTCTTGTCGATTTAGGTGTCCATTTCAATGATGGAATATGGGTTGACGATAGCTTCACTTGTGGCGGCAGCTATGTTTACATATTTAACTCCTCCCACTTCGTATTTGCCTAATCTTTATGACGGCTCTGCTCAATGTGTGAACATCGGATAATCTAAATTTTTTGCAGTTTCAATTCATTACTTTTCTAAGCTGCTGTCATTGGCAGATCTAACTTTTGTTAAGTAACTCGAGACTACTGCTGTGATGTTGTTCCGTCACTTTGCCACACGGGGGCAGCATCCTCTCGTTGGCCTTTCGTCGAAGTAGACCACTAAACAGGAAGTGATATGCTACCAGCGTGGTAATAACAAGGATGTACTATTCTTTTTACGTATTTTTCTTCCAACTGAATTTGTGCCAATGGGAAAACTTACCCTGCTCAGGACACCAAGGGAGAGCCAGGAGTGCGTTCTATCCAAAGTGCTATAAGGTGAGTATTGGTGATTGCAAAGATAGATACAGTGATAGATATGATGTGCACTAGGGCCAGCGCTCATGCTAGTATTGCTAACAATAACACTCATGTTGGCTAAGCAGAGCAGATGGCTTTTTATTCCTTTGATGTGGGTTTTTGATCCATGTTTTGTACTCGACAAACAGTTATCTTTCTTATCGTTTTAGATTTGTCTTCAACTTTGAGATTCGCCTGGAGCTCAACTCTTCATAAGTAAGTTGATCAAGTCCGCCTTATTATCATCTTAGTTTAACGCAGTATTAATCGATAAGATGAGAAACCTTTCTCTGCCAAAGAGTGGGGAATGTGTTGCAGCACGCACACAGTACAGTGGGGTATGTAGCGCACAATAGCTATAAAACACCTCTGTATTGTATCTTAGCTCTAGAAGCTTGATTCGTATATTCACAGTGGAAGTTACAACCAAGTTACTTCTGTACACTTATTAAATTCAATTATTTAGGTAATTGATTTATCTACAGGTAAAAATTTTTTTAAAGTGATAAGTTAACTACAAATACGATGTTTTATGTCAAGAAAAAAAGAAAAGACCGTTTAAGTATACTGTTTAACAGTCACAATCTCTTTGTAAATATAGTTCTATGTCATGGTGCTACGCCCCTTAGGGCCCTATGACTCTTGAGGCCAGAGAGATCAGAGATCCAATGCTCCAATCACGAGCGAGCTCCTCTTATAAATAGCCCTGCTCAAGCCTGCACCTGCCACTTTTAACTCAGGTGCCGAGAGATCACTTCAAGATACTACAAGAATCGAGATGTCGCTGCCTTCTGCTCGTCCGAGTTCCCCTTCGCCCTCCCGCGTCGGACAAAGAAGGTGCAGCGTTTGTGAGGCGAGGCTACACCGCAAGGACCAGCACGACCGGTGCTTCACCTGCCTGGGCTGGCGCCATGTCACGGAGAGCGCTATCTGCAAAGCGTGCCTCTCTCTCCCCAGGAAGGAGAGGGAGCGCCGCGATGCATACGTCAGCGCCGCGAAGGCTCGCCCGGACTCCTCTCAGGAGGAGGAGTCTGAAGTGCGGCCTGTCCCGCTTGACTTGCCCCCTGTGCCCAAGGAATGGGGAGACTGCGTCGTGGAGACAGAGTTCAGCGGGTACGAGGCGTCTCTCGTAACAATCGATGAGGCCATTTCCTGGGGCAAGGGACCAGACCGATTCCCGCTCGACCACATGCCCCGCCTCTTTTCTGCAGCGGCGAGGCGCATGGAGATCCCCCTCCCACCGCAGCCCACTCAGACGGAGAGAGACTTCACCTCGGTGGGGGCTCCGGATCGGGGGAGGAAGAAGCTCGAGCCCACGCTGTGCCCGCGTATGGACCCGGTGTTCCACTACGCCACGCGTGAATGGTCCAGACCCCTGGGGGCCAAGAGGCCCGCCCTGGGGTATGGCCCATACTGCACGGTCCAAGACTGGTCCTGGTCCAGCGGAGTCCCGGACATCGAGGACGCGGTGAGGCAGGCACTGCTTCCCACGTCCTCCGTGGGGCCAGGCAACAGACCGCTCCTTCCCTCCGAGCGGGACAGGATGTCGATGTCCGTGCTGGATAGGTGCTATGCCAACGCGGCTCAGGTGGTCGCGTTGGCTAGTAACATGGCCTTTCTCATTGGGGCCCTGGACAGGTCTCTCTCTGCGGGCCAGGCGCTCAGCGGCGAGGATCTGACGGAGGCGAGGACCACGTCAGCAGCACTCCTCCGGATGGCCCAGGCGCTGGCCATTGACGGAGGTCGCTCCATGGCCGCCGCACAAGTCGGTGCCCGGCACCTCTGGTTGGGGCTCGCGGACATCGGGGAGGCGGAGAAGAGGCAGCTGCTGGACCTGCCTGTCTCCACCACTTCGCTCTTCGGGCCTGACATGCAGGGGCTGGCCGACAGGCTTGACAGTGCGATCAAGGACGCTGCCAAGCTGGCGCCCCTCCTGGGTCCGCGGCGAGAGTCCCGCCAGGTCAGAGGGCGGTCCCCCAGACGGCGCTCCGCTCCTCCACGGGCTGCTGCGCGCTTGGCCCGCCCTTCTCCGGCGAGACCCCAGGTTCCGGAGAGTTGCTTCTGGGCACGTCTTAAAATCAATTATTTAGGTAATTGATTTATCTAGATGTTACATTTTTTTGAAGTGATAAGTTAACTACAAATTCGATGTTTTATGTCAAGAAAAAAAAGAAAAGACTGTTTATGTATTCTGTTTAACATTCTCTTTGTATACAGTGGGGCAAAAAAGTATTTAGTCAGCCACCGATTGTGCAAGTTATCCCACTTAAAATAATGACAGAGGTCTGTAATTTTCATCATAGGTACACTTCAACTGTGAGAGACAGAATGTGGAAAAAAATCCAGGAATTCACATTGTAGGATTTTTATAGAATTTATTAGTAAATTATGGTGGAAAATAAGTATTTGGTCAATAACAAAAATTCAACTCAATACTTTGACCTCTGGTATTGCCAACAAAGGTTATATTACTAACAATTATTATAGGTCTTTACCAGGTTTGCACACACAGTAGCTGGTATTTTGGCCCATTCCTCCATGCAGATCTTCTCGAGAGCAGTTATGTTTCGGGGCTGTCGCCGAGCAACACGGACTTTCAACTCCTTCCACAGATTTTCAATGGGGTTGAGGTCTGGAGACTGGCTAGGCCACTCCAGGACTTTCAAATGCTTCTTACGGAGCCACTCCTTCGTTCCCGGGCAGTATGTTTGGGATCATTGTCATGCTGGAAGACCCAGCCACGTTTCATCTTCAAAGCTCTCACTGATGGAAGGAGGTTTTGGCTTAAAATCTCACGATACATGGCCCCATTCATTCTTTCCTTAACACGGATCAGTCGTCCTGTCCCCTTAGCAGAAAAACAGCCCCAAAGCATGATGTTTCCACCCCCATGCTTCACAGTAGGTATGGTGTTCTTGGGAACTCAACTCAGTATTCTTCTTCCTCCAAACACGACGAGTCAAGTTTATACCAAACAGTTCTACTTTGGTTTCATCTGACCACATGACATTCTCCCAATCCTCTGCTGTATCATCCATGTGCTCTCTGGCAAACTTCAGACAGGCCTGGACATGCACTGGCTTCAGCAGTGGGACACTTCTGGCACTGCAGGATTTGATTCCCTGTCGTCGCAGTGTGTTACTGATGGTAACCTTTGTTACTTTGGTCCCAGCTCTCTGCAGGTCATTCACCAGGTCCCCCCGTGTGGTTCTGGGATTTTTGATCACCGTTCTCATGATCATTTTGACCCCACGGAATGAGATCTTGCGTGGAGCCCCAGATCGAGGGAGATTATCAGTGGTCTTGTATGTCTTCCATTTTCTGATAATTGCTCCCACAGTTGATTTGTTTACACTAAGCTGCTTGCCTATTGTAGATTCACTCTTCCCAGTCTGGTGCAGGTCTTTTCCTGGTGTCCTTCGACAGCTCTTTGGTCTTGGCCTTAGTGGAGTTTGGAGTCTGACTTTGAGGCTGTGGACAGGTGTCTTTTTATACAGATAACGAGTTCACACAAGTGCCATTAATACAGGTAACGGTTGGAGGACAGAAGAGCTTCTTAAAGAAGTTACAGGTCTGTGGGAGCCAGAGATCTTCCTCGTTTGAAGTGACCAAATACTTATTTTCAACCCTAATTTACAAATAAGTTATTTAAAAATCCTACAATGTGAATTCCTGGATTTTTTTCCACATTCTGTCTCTCACAGTTGAAGTGTACCTATGATGAAAATTAAAGACCTCTGTCATTATTTTAAGTGGGAGAACTTTCACAATCAGTGGCTGACTAAATACTTCTTTGCCCCACTGTATGTAGTTCTACGTCATGGTGCTACACCCCTTAGGGGCTACGCTATGGGTATGCCCGTCTCCACCACCTCGCTCTTCGGGCCTGACATGCAGGGGCTAGTCTACTTGACAGCGCGATCAAAGACTCTGCCAAGCTGATGCCGCATCTGGCCCCGCGGCATGAGTCCCGCCAGCAGTCGAGGGGCTTCGACCAGGTCAGAGAGCGGTCTCCCAGCTTGGCGCTTCACTCACGCCTGGTGCTAGGCCACAGACTCTGGGTCTGGAGGCTGAGAGGCAAAATCTTGTAGACCTGGGTTTCCCCTTGTCGGTGTTGGAGACCATTCGCCCTCCACTCTCCAGGTGGAGGCTTTTCAGTGACTCGTGTGAGGTGCGTTCCTGGGACCCCGTCCTTGATAGGAGTGGCCCTGTAACACTGCTTGTGCTTCATTTCCTGCCCTGAGCCCGTTCACCTTGGTGGTTTTGGGGGAATCTCGGGCAGGGCTCCAATCACTCTACGCTGGCCTGATGGGAGTACATCTTCCTACGGCCTACGCGTGGTAACCCATTGCGTAGCCCTAAGGGGCGTAGTTCTACAAATATGTGCGTAGTCCCTTAGCTACGATCCCATCAGGCCAGGCTGGCTTTGGCGGAGTTCAAAGTGGCAGGTGCAGGCCTGAGCAGGGTTATTTTTAGGAGGAGCTCGCTTTTGATTGGAGCATTGGATCTCCGATCTCTCTGGCGGAGGTTAGGTGCATTATGAGTCATACCCATAGCGTAGCCCTAAGGGGCTACGCACCTATTTGTAGAACTACAGTTACATTAGGTTACTAATAATTACTGCTCTGTTTGAGTTAGATCCAGTTCTTTTTAAAGTCTTTTTATATATTCTATTTTTAAACAATTAACTAAATTGATTTAGCAGTAAAAAATGGATTAAAGTGATAGTCTGGAACTCTAAATGAATTACACATTTTAAGAATTGTAAATTGACCTCAGAAAGGAAGGGGGAGGGAGCTTTAATTTTTTTTTTTTTTTTCAAATCAAGTACCTCTCTTTTTCTTCTGACAAACTCCAGACAATCACTTGAACTATCGAAAAAAAACTGGTGTTACTATTTGACCACATCTTTTGAAAACTTGAACATTTTTCTGTTCTTGCAGTGTATCAGCGCGGTCGAAACAGCATTCGAGAGGAATATGATGATCAATTTATGAGGGGTCGGGGCAATGGCAGGGAGGTAAGGACAAATAATTAAAAAGCAGTTCACAAATTCATGTGTTATGGTGTAATAATCTGCTTCAAAACAATCTTAGGTGACGTTTCACAGAGTTGTGAATGTAGTGGAGAGAAGTCGTCCCATGCAGATTATGGGTGGAGACTTTGAGAGGAGAGGACTTGATGGACCAATGTACAATGAGCCCATGCCCTATCAAGACCCAAGGGATTGTCAAGGCAACAACAATTTCCCACAGAATAATATGCACTTTCATGAAAATGAAACGCAGCGCTTTGGAAACTTTCACAGAAATCCTCCACCTCCAAGAAATGTAAGCATGCTGCATAACATGCTCTCCAATTGTATGTGTCATTTAATAAACTATGTCTTGTTTTGTTTTTATAGGAAGGACACAACGTTCACAACAGAGATGACCTCAGATATCATTTAGACTCCAGGTACTTGGACATTTTTTGTGTGTGTATTTTTTCATTTTTATCACTGGCACAAAATATGCCTCAAGATGGAGATATGTTGTGATTAAACATGTTTCCTTATTTCCATACTGAATGTACAAATACAAATAACAAAATATCTATGCCACACAACAGCCGTTGTATAATGTTAGCTATGCTAGCAAATGGTTCAAGTTAGGGTTAGTTTGACCATAAATCTTATCACAACCAGGAACAAATATTTTATTAAAGATGATGGCTTTAAGTTTATTAACCAGGTCTTTTGCATATATTTCTGTACAAAGCGCAACATTGTCATTGCTCTACAAAAACCTTCTGACTATAAACCATATTTATGTGACCCTAGTGCTACAGTTTCTTAAATGATACCAGGCAAGAAAGAAGATGATGAAGGGCATCACTATGTACTATCCAGAAAGACATAATCTACTCCCCGAAGTCATAGCAGTGGGTTTTAAAAGGATTTTGTTGCCATTTTAAAGGTCTTACATTTCTCCATCTCTTAACAACACACTATCACATTATTAAGAACAGCATATCTGTACTGGACCAAAAAACATTGTCAAACAATGATGTGTCGCCTTTTGATGTTTTAAAGACATGTAGTCAATGTTTGGCAAATGGCCGAGTCCTGGCCACTTCAAACAGGTCAGGAGTCGTAAAAGTTGTGGGCTTGTTAGACCTGCTCTGTTTGAGATGTGGCCGGAGTTCAGGCTGAGGTCATGACTACCAGGTGCCTCCAGCTCATTTATACCTCATCCAGGACCTAAAGGACCCTTTGTAAACATTTACTGTGCACTGTAGAAGGCAAACATGTCGCATGAACAGAAGCTGCTGTTGTCTGTTTCCGATTATACTAACTGTGTATAATATTGGTGCAATATCCTTTTAATATGACTACAACATAGGTATAAACTATGTGTTCTTTCAAACCTTTATGAAATTACATACTACTTTTTACCAGGAATCTAATTGTATTTTATAGAAACAATGGCAGAGGAGGGAATTTTTTCCGTAACCGTGGCAGAGATGCAGGACCTGGTTTAAGGTAAACCTTTATCTCTCTCATCTCAAGATGAAGGCGTTTGCATAGTATTTGGAAAGTATTAATGTTGTATGTGGTGTTTAATGTACTGCCTTTTTACCTTGCTTAAAGGGAGGACATGGATTACAGGCGTAAAGAACCATTTGTCAGAGATCGCTCACCAGTCAGGCGTGGGAACCGTTCTTCCAGTTCTGCATCTAGACCCTCTGAGAAGAACTCCACTCAACAAACACGTCAGTGTTGTGAAATTATACAATCTAGACTTCAACATTTCTTCTTGAATAGAATGTACAGTGTGTTTGTGAGTGCGAATGTTGGAAAACAGATTAATTAGACCAAGGCTACAATCCACAGAGGTGTGTTCATTTACATGCACTGTCCCAACCAAATAAGCAATAACATACAGTACATACATGAATACATCTCAGACCCACACTTTACTGATTGTGACACTAATCTTTGTTTGTATTCAGTGTTTAAAAAGGTGGATATTTACAAAGTTTTCATTAGAGCTTGGAAATGGGGACCACGAGCAAATAATGACATTTTCCGGGGATTTGGATCACCTTCTTGATCTTGGATTATTTTGAAGGAATGGAACTTCCCCTGTTGGAAAAGACCTGTGCTCGACGAGCGCTTCTCTTGCTGTTAAAATGTTATTCCTGGTTTTATTCTTGAACAAACGTAGTCTCCTCAACAGCAAAGCATCTGTTTTTTTTGGTGGCGATTTGTAACGTGTAGGGTCAGGGTGCAGCGCAGCCTGTTAGGATGTTAATTACACTCACACAGCGCCTGGGAACAGCCATGGCCGCGCTTATATTGGGTTGTTAAAGATTATTGTCTTAAGTTTGTGACTATAACTCATCGCTTTGAAAAGGGATCTCTGGGCTGCCATGGTTGCGTTTGGTCATATGTATATTTGTTTTTTTATTTAGCGAAGCTCACACCACCTGCCAGTCCGCCACATGCAGACCCTGAAGAAGACCCTCTACAGAAGCCAACAACATCAAAGGTAAAGCTGCTTGCAAATTCTCATCAATACTTCTTCTTCATAATTGCTGTAAATGAAGTAATCAGCCATTGTGATGAGCAGGATGGCGTTTATCTGAGTATTTAAATTCACAATAGGGTTTTAGTCTTGTCTGTATGTATGTTCCAAATAGATTCTGTAATAAAGTTGAGTTGAATTGAATCGAATTAGACTTTTAGAAAAGAATAGAAAAAGCAATGTGGTGCTTGTTAAAGACTAAAGTTGTCCGCTCTCGTCGAAGTCGCTTTGAAATGAGAACTGGTTTCCAAACGGCACTAACCTTTCCCCTCTGGCCTTCCAGGGGAGCCCTCCTCCGTCTGTGCCCGAGCCGGAGCAGGAGGCGGAGGCTGCCAGCATGGAACCAGAGCCGACACCAGAGCAGGACTTGAAGGCTCGCCGGTTGGAGGCCATTAAGGCAAAAGCTTTGGAAATCGAGAAGGTACTCAAATTTGTTCCAGAACCACTGACACTGGCCACGTTCTCCGCGTCGGCTTTACGCTTTGATTTCATTACATGGCATCAAACCGTCAGAAGACTTGAGTAATGGTTATTTTAGAGGACTTTTTCTAATTGTTTTCAGGTCTGTTTGAAAATGGGTGTAGTAGTGCTTTTGAAATGAACATTTAAGTTAAAAGATCCTTTATTTGTCCCACAGTGGAGAAATTCCAGTGTTGCATCATCAGTTACAGGAAAGCAGGAACGAGAAGCACACAAGATAAATAAAAAGTGACTCTATACTAAAATAAAATGTCTAACTTTCCATTAATAAAGAAGCAAATCTAAAATCTCCAACTTTGGTGTAATGAATAAGAAAGAATTAAAGGTATATAGGAGGATTTTCTCACATTTTAAGAAAGAACCCTCTCACTTAAAAAAAACAACTCTAGTCTTATTTGACGAGCACGTGTCACCAGAATGATTGACAATTAGGAGGATCACCCAGAAGTAGAAAATCTTTCTATATACCTTTAAAGTAGCAATATATAAGATTTTCATGTCAAGACATAATTAAATGGCCCTAATCTGTCAAAAGGCATCAACAAAACATGCTCTTTTAAAATATTTCTTTAACTGATAACAGTAGTTGAGCTCATCTCATTGGTAAAGCAACATGTGGCCGGTGAACTAAATAAGGTCTCGTTATGATTCTCAAATCATTTAATAACAACACAAGGAATAAAACCAGGATTTCTATCTTTGTGAAAGGTGTTGGTTATAGATTTGTTGACAAAACTCTTTCTTCAGATATTATGGTCCCAGCTGGATTTGTCTGCATATCTGGCAACCTGAGTAAGGGAAAGTGCAGTACCACTTTTGGCCAGATTTTGTCATACTGCTCCTTTAAGTACAGAATATGTTTAGCATCAAAAAGACATGTATAAAATCTCTTAACTTTGACATAATAGATTGTGGAAAGGCAGCGGTGAGCAGTGGGGCTGGAGGTTGTGCTGCTTCTCGTCACCTTCCCCTAATGTTCAAAGCTGCAGCACAGTGCTATTATCTGTTCTGGTAAATCAGGACAGAAGGATATAGATGGGGCTTTTATTGAAACGAGTCACATTTTTTGGACTAATACAGAACAGTTTTTGTTTTTTGATGAGCCACAGTGGCTCAGTTGGTCTTTGGGCCTGAAGGTTGCGGGTTCAAGCCCAAGACCACAAAACCTGCTTCACTTCACTGATGTCAGTTGCCGTTGTGTCCTTGGGCAAGGCACTTAACCCCACTCCAGGTTTCCACTGTGTGTATAAACGACTCCAGAATATATCTCATCTCCTCTTTGAGCGCCGATGCTCTTATGATTCTAAAGTTTCTTTAGCCCTTGTTCTCACTCAGTTCTTAAACCTGTAAAAAGTCCTGCAAAAGGTTCCGACATGGTCAAAAATGTATTATTAGTGAGTACAAGCCTCAATGCTGAGCCGACACATCCCCAACGAACCTCGGAGGGCCCGGCATTTACTCTTGCCTCGAGTCGGAGCTGCCACACATCGCCCCCAATTCTTTCCAGGCGATAAAAGATTCGAGTCGAGTTTGCACCTGGAAGCCCAATAAAAAGTGTTTTGTTTCGGCCGTAAAACGTGAGAAGGATGTGAGAGCTGGTTACAATGCGGTGTGAAAACCCGCCACGGCACCCATTAACTCGCTCCGACACCTCGCCACGCTTTTGTTTCAGCGTAGGTGCACTTGAGAAGAACTTGCAGACACACCGCTCTCAGCACAAACACCAGCGCCTCCTCCCCGGGGCCTGAAGTTCACGTGTGTAGAGTCTGACCTGGACTTTGAATATATCTTGTTCCATCTGTAGATTATTATCTCAAGAATTTGACATCTTTGCTAACTAGTATCTATATCTTTGGAATATGCATCAATAATATCATTCACGTTTTTCAGCAAGAAGGTCCTGGGTTCGACCTTTCTGAGTGGAGTTTGCATGCTTCTCCCGTATCTGTAGGTTTCCTCCGGGTGCTCCAGTTTCCACTACAATTTGAAAGAGACAAATGCCCACAACAATTGCAAAGCGGATTGTGGCTCTGGTTTCTGCTGGCGCTATATAAATAATTATTACTTACCTAGGTCTCTGTTCTTACGCACAACGTCTAAAAAGCTTACGTCCCTTTTTTTTAATCAACACGTGTCTAGACGGTCTTTTGTCCAAGCGCGGGAAACGATAACACTACATGATTTTATGAAAGGACTTCAAAACCAAAACCATATATTTGTAACGTTTATTTCATTATGTACAGGGAGGAAAGGGCGTGTGTTCGTCAATGCGTCAATTCTGAATCTGATCAACCGTTACATTTTCCGTCATTAGCGGACATTCCTGACCCGGTGCAATGCGGTGTGTTCCCCAGGATTACAGGCAGGACTGCGAGACATTCCGCACGGTGGTGAAGATGCTGGTGGAGAAGGAGCACAGTCTGGATTATCTGCTGCAGGCGCCACTGGAGAAGAACCTGGAGGAGATAAAGGGCCGCTGCCTGGACTCGTTAAAACAGTTCATAAAAGAGCTGGACGAGGCCATAGAGCCGCCCAGCGAGACCGACCAACCCACAGAGACCTGAAGATAAGCCCTTTGCTCCTCCAGGATATTTTAAAGACTGCAAACGATAATGAGACCACCAAAACTTTTACTGTTTTAATCATTGGTGTGTTTTAGGGATTCATTTGAACAATGGGTGTGAAGTGCATAATATGGTATCCACACAAAGTGACCATGAAGTCTTCCAAGATTATTTTTATACTGAAACCTATCTTGCTACCAAGTTAATGGTGGGTTGTATGTATTTCTTAAAAAAAATATAGTATTGTGTGAATGAGTGTCACCTGAATTTAATAATGTTCCTGTAGTTTCATATATGTATATATTTTATTACAATTGTCAGTTTTTGGGGTTTATATTCCAGTCTTTACATGTTTACTGATATACTGTAACTGCTTTTCTAGTTATTCTACAGCATGAACCATTAAGCAGACTGTAAGCCCTTCAAAAGGCCCGAAACATTCTTCTCAAAGCCTCAGTCACAGTCTGTCAGTGCAGTTTTGATGTTTCTAGAAATATGAAGCCAATGCAATCTCAACACCATTCAGTACAAAACTGCTCAAACTCGGATATAAAAATAGGCTTTTGAACTCTATACAAAATAGCATTTTTAAATAAATTGTAGTGTTTTAAATATTTGTTATGTTGAAATAAAAGTATTACATGGTGCATGAAGCGGCAGAACTCGTGTCTCACAAACACCTGGAAAATCTTAGTGCCATGAAGCTGTTAAAACAGTGTCTAGAAGAAGAAGATTGTGCATGGCAAACCGAGTAAGTGAGTCCAGACATTTATGAAATGATGCAGTTCTTTCCCTTGTGTCCCTTCTTCTTTTTAGACTTAGTCCTTTGGCTGTAAGAGGGAGAGCTCATACCCGCCACAGAGCAGGGCAGATCCTCCATGTAGTAATGTCTATGGGGCAGCGGCTGGGGGATGGGCTGTCCCAGGAAGAAGCCCTCCTCCTCAGAGTCTGAAGAGGACGAAGAGCAGGTAGAGCACCAGTCATCCTCGTCACCGCCGTAAAGTCCAGTGAAGCGGCCTGAGAGTTGCCCCTGTAACCCGTACTGGGACATAGTGTTGGGGTGTCCATGTGATCCCAGAGCGTTCCCTCTGGGATCTCTGCTGAAGCTTTTTGAAGCCCTCTCTTTCGGCAGAAGGTTTAGAGCATTATCAGAGCGGGACTTGCGACTGCGACGTCGCCTGTGGTGATGGTGTCCTGTGCCAGGGTCCTGTCCTGCTTCCTCAAAGTGAAAAACTCTGCGGCGAGTCCGTTCACTCATAGGGGGCTGGCGTAGGGGAAGCTCGTACTGACTGTTGTCCACCACATCATCTGAGAACTTGACCTGCTGAGGTCTGGCCTGTGGGCGAGCCCTCCTCAGAGCAGGGATGTTGGTTTTGGGCCTGCTATCAGGTAATGGCACTTCCTGTACTTTTGGGGAGACTGGGGCTTCCTGTTCAGACACAAGGCTTTTCAGCGAGGTTGCACTTCTGTGCAACATAGAGGAGTTTAGTGTCCCCATATTACTGCTCTGTTCACAGTCGTCCGTCTGGAGCTCAGGAAATCCTTGTAAAGAAAAAGCCAGTCCTCTGTCTTTGCAGTCACCATCCACAGAGGCACCTGGGGAAACCAAAAACATATTTGAGCTAAACTACACACTACATGAGGCAGTCATTTTTATTATTGAGTGTATTACCTGTAATATTTGACAGAGCCAGGGAGTCCATGGAGTCTCGGACATTTGGTTCTATCTTTTTGAACTCATTAGAGATGCATTCCAAAGAGTCAGAGTACCACTGGCTAGTCTCTCCAGCTCCATGGTCCAACTCAAGTTCCTGTATCTTTCGACTACTAGCAGGACCAGGGTGGCTGCCATAGGCTGAATCCCCCAGGCCGTCCTGAGACTGGGCCCAGTACCTGTCCACCTGATACTTCTTACTGGCCAGACTTCCTCTCAGCCGTACCCCACTGCCCTGATCAACCTTGACACAGTCCTGCTCCAATTGAGCCTCAGTCTCTGCTGTCCAGAAATTAGTAGGTTTAGAGTCATTGGCTTGTTGCAGCCCATGTTGTCCAAACTTCAGTAGTAGCTGTGTCATGTAGTCTTCATGTTCTGCCCACTCTTCTTGATCTTCAGGGGCCTCTGCTTCCTCTCCACGATCCCTCCAGAAATGCTCATCAGACAAGTTCATGTGGGATAGCTTATTAGTTAAAGTGTCCTCGGCATTGCTGCTAAACCCAGGGAACTTGTAATTGGCTGAAGGGGAGAAGAGGAGAGACTGGCGGCACTGATCAGCTGACTTACTACTCTTGCCCATGCGCACGCTTCTCCTGGACTCTCGGGAGCGGGCCGATTGGAAGGCAGAGTCCGAGGAATCTGAGGCCAGAACATCTTCACCCAAACTGCAAGCCTTGGAGCAGTAGATTCTGCCCTGGTGAGGCAGGAAGGGGCAACCCAGCAGAGAGTTCTTACACTGGGCACAGCTAAAGCAGCCTTCAGTGGCGTGCCAGTGAAGCCCGTCATAGGTCATCTGAGCATGGTCCACTCCTGAAGGATACACATAAAGAGCTTTACTAAAAACATAAGTTCACATACATTAATTCTTAACACCCCTGTATCTTATAGCAGCGCACTCTACACCATTTTGCTAGTAAATTAGTACAATTTAGCTACAAGTTATCAATTGCACAAAAGATCAATAAAAATGAGAAAATATATATATCAAGAATCATGATATAATATAAATTGTGCTGCCACCATTGGCATTTGTGGTCTTGTGATCTCACTCTACTACGATAACAACAATACGTAACCAGTCCATTCGTCTCAGATGTTTTGTGGTTGCTATGCGATGGGGAAAAGTTGTGTAGCTTTACCGATATGTTCTCCACAGGCCTCACAATACTCTGCGTAGAGCGACTCGAAACATCCACAACAGTATGGTCTGCCGTCCTTCATGATGTATCGCTGACCTCCCAAAACCGTCTCGCATTCAAAACACGAGAAGTGCTTCATGTGCCAGTGACGGCCCTCTGCCTCCGTGCATTCGTCCGCAAAGATGATCTGGAAACAAGAAAAAACGGAACAATGAGTCTAATGCAAGCTGTGTTTATTTGTTGTTTTTCTGCTTAAGGCGACCTTCATTCCTTTGTGTATTTATTTCAAACATGTACGAGAAATACAAACCTATTTTAATCCAATTCTCTCCATGCCATTCAAACACATACTACAAAACAATACGACAACGACAAAATCCTACAAATACCCTCCAACAAAACGCATTATAGCTTCTGTATATGACACACACACATACTGTATACACACACACACACATCTTACCTCATCGCAGGCTGAGCAGCGGGGCTTCAGGAGCTCTGCGTGGTGCCGGCCGCAGTGGATCTTTCCCTCGTGGGAGAAGTAGATTAAATCCACAAGTAGTTCACTGCAGGTGGAACAGGCAAAGCATGCTGGGTGCCACAACACTCCTGGGCCCATTCGAGATGCAGACAACGTCATTTCTCCACCGCAGATTCCTTCCCCACACTAAAAAACAAACATAAAAACATGAATACTCGTGTGTGTGTATATAGTGTATAGTACAGTGTTTAGACTGATCTATCTGGGGCACACTGGGGTAGTTTTGCACAGTTTTACTGTAATTATTTTTTTATGGCTATCTCTAACTACAGATGCGATAAGAACATGTATAAGATTTCATAACCACACCAACTGGCCGTGTCTTACCCATAGACTGTAAATGTTTACGGACGTAGTCACGCTATCTCCGCCGTTCTAACTAATGTGCCACAACTTCTTCGGTCTATGGGCAGTTTCAAAATGGCCGCGGGGGCTGGAAAATGTGAAATGCATCTGCCCATGCGTCAGCCGGCATGAGCCCCATTCATTTGACGAGTGCCTTCAAAAATTCACAGCGAGTAGACTGGTCCAAAAAAATTCACCCCCCTCAGCATTGACACACATGTGGAACGGAGCTTTGGGCCAAGAGCCAACTTTTGGACCATCTTGTAAAGATGTTTTCGAGAGGTAAGAAGATGCTATTTGTTAGCATTGGCTAATTCTTATTCCGGGTCCAGCCCCATCGGCCCGGGGTGGTATTGCAAGCATGTCAGTGCACGTCACTTTGGCCACTTTTGAGCCAGGACCCGCCCCCACTGGTCTTACCACAGATATAATTAGGTAAGTAATGAGAGATGAGGATACTTACATGCTCACAGACACTGTTGAGGAGATTGCGAGGCAGCATTTTGACCGTCGCTCGTCCCAGTGCTTCGTTCTTCCTTTGGACACTGAACATCTGCAGTTCTTTCTTCTCCTCTTCGCTGAGAGACTGACAGTAACGCACCTAAAAAATGAAATAGAACATTCAAGATTGTTTTAGCGTAGTTTCTTAACGGATTGATGGAAAAGATAATGAAGCTTGCACATTTCATTTCTCATTTTTTTCTGATGTAATGTGTGCATTGACATTTCCCCACTAAATGCTTATCTTATTCTATACTTTGGTCGTCCACATGTCTAGGAAGAAGAACCAGTGGGGTCAAAATGCTTCAGTATACTTTTCATCACTTGTTTACAGCAGTCTTCTGATGTGCATAATAAAATACATTGATTTTTCTTGAGTGTCAGCAATTTTCTTATTGTCATGATGAATAATTTCTAAGGCAAGAAGCTTAGGGACTAATTTCAGATTGCGGTTGAAAGCCTGTATTGCTTATTATTGATTTCATATCTAAGATGGTTTCATTTTAATTGCAGATGACTTAAAGGTGGAAAGACAATTGTTCTCTATGTGCATGAGGAAAAGTCTCAATACTTATCGGCCATCTATTTAAAGCTGAAATCCCAAACTGAAGAGATGAAATTCAATGTAACTAGTGCTCTCTGAACAGTTTGCTTCACTAGTTTTTTCATGCATGTATTTTTGGCTTCAAGATGTGACAGTATATTCAGTGAAAAAGCACTCACTCAGCCTTTAAGCCATCAGTGTCTAAAGAGTTTGTTTTACTATGTTTTTGTTGAATAGGGTTAAGACAGTACGATGTGAATATTCTCACAATGTGTTACTTAAACAAGACTTTCTGTAGGGACAAACATGTATTTATGAACCAATAGTTATGTGGTGATATATTTAAGGATGTTTGTTTACAATGTATCAGCTCAAAATGGACTTGGAAAACATATCGACTCCCACCCCATGTACGCCTATGATCCTCATCGTCTCTGGGAGCGACCCTTATTGTAAAGTTTACAGTAAAAGAAATAAACTCTTCACCACAGTAAATTTGAAAGTCTCCCACAACGGTCAAAATGAACCAATGTATAAACATAAGCTTGTGTTTGGAATGAGATCCAGGGCTGGGACAATAAAAGAGCGGAGGAGAGACTGTCTGTTTGGAGCTGGTGCCGATGGTGGCATCACATAAGCCTCTGTCTCTCCCCCGCTGAGGGCCCCTTGTAAAGTAACCACTGCTATGACAGGAATCTGACTGGTGGGGGCCCCCGGCAAACACCGTAAACTCATCAAGTCAAGAGTCACATTGTGCCCACATTACACGCCTACAAAATTGCTGAACAAAAATCCCCTGGTGTGATGCTGACACAGATGCCAAGTGCCGCTGATGTGAATCCATAATGATCTCACCTCATTATCGTGCGGCGGCAGCTGGTACAGGAGCTGCTTGATTCGGAATTTTTCACCAGGGCTGTTCACATAGGGGACCTTCTCCTCAGGCATGCATGAGAAAAAGATCTGTACCTGCAAAAACAAGAGAACGGTCGTCCTCGTGTTAGTCAAACAGCCAATTTACAGCTAACTATCAAAGTACAAACATAATTATGTGTGAAAACATATTTAACTATCTCCTAGCTCTCAAAACTGTTTGGTTTATCACTTGTTTGCAGAGCTGGGAGTAATGCGTTACAAAAGTAATGTAATTACTGTAATGTATTGCTTTTTACTGTAAGGCATTCCAGAACAAATCTGTTTTACAGTAACGTGCATTAAATTGCATTCTAACAAAAAATATGTAATTTTGTTTTGTTTGACACTATGCCATCGCAAGATCAGCGAGGAGAAATAATGGCTGAAGCTGAAGCAGGTACTATGTCGGACAATAGTACATTTTCAAGATGGGAAAATGTATTATTTGAACTTTGTTGGAGACAAATGCACTTTATGTGCCAAACCAAAAGCTCACACCATAGCATTATTGTGTGTATTTGGTAAAAGTAACTTAAATGTAATGCAGGAGTGGTGTAATGCTTTTAAATCAGAGACAGGAGACCACGTTAGTTTGAAACAACAGTAACAAGTGATGCATCATTATTGTGTTTTTGAAGTAACTGACCAATTAGTGCTTGTTTGAACATTCTTGTGTTTTTGAGAAACTTAATTTTCATGCTACAGGAAATAGAACAACGTCATAAAATCCATCAAACAAGTCCTTCATGTACATTTGGCCTTCGTTGCATATTCAGATCAGATTTTTCAGATCAGATTTTTCAGATCAGATTTTTCAGATCATCTTTTACTCTACCAATCAGCTCTCATCCCACAGTAACAAGTAGTAAAGTAAAGTATGTAAGTTAAGTTTTGTTTCGGCTACTTTTCTACACTCGACTCTTTCAAAACAACATAATATATATATACACAAAACAAAGACATAACCCAGCTTTAAGTATCCACAACATGAATATGATGGTGTTCAATCTCAGGTTGAACTCCAGACCTTCACTTTATGTGACGACAGTTTGAAGGAGTGCAGCTGAATAGGATCAATTAGTTTCTTTGGAGTCATATGTCTATCTCTATAGGAACAGGACAAAGCCTGATGTCCCCGTGGCACGCTGACCCCTCGGGCTGGACCATCAAAACCCTTTATGAGCCCTGACCATTACAGCTGCAGAGATAGTAAAGGTAGGATATGCTGCTCTAGTAGGTTTCAGGCCTGACTTCCTGCAGCTTCTGCCTTTAATGGTTTCCTCCTTTGGTAGATCACTTGGTAGATCTACTTTGAGCATGCTTCACCGCAAAAACTGAAAATATAGACGAGTTCACAGGATTTCAGTGTATTTATCTAACCACACAATTTGTTATTGACTTTTTTACTCATGCAGGCTGAAGATACTTAAGATAATACTACTTAACATTTTATTTCTTGTTTCAAGTGGAAAAATCATGATTTATTGGCAGATCATTTTGCTTGAAACAAGTACATTTCCTCTAATAGTAGCAATTGTTTTGTTCTTTTTAGCCACTTTTTGGAGTGTTGGAACTGAAAAATACCTCCTTGGTTTTAGGCACTTTAACCATCAAAATGCATCTCAACCATTTGGTAAAAGCCAAAGTTAAAAAACAAACCTTAGTGCTAAAAGAAAAAAAGAAATTGCTTTCTTCAAGGAGTGAATGTTAAAGGGTTAAGCCGTCACAGCGGAGGGAGGGGCTGTAGTAATTTAGCCTGACAATCATCATCAAGAGCCACCCTCGGTCATAAATGATGCACATTTACATACTGCAGTTCCCTCCTCTGGGGTTGGGGCAGTCAACTTGCACCATGGCCCTGTGTGTTTCTTCTCTTATAATGGAGCCATAATACTTAGCCAATAGCTGCTGTAAAAGGGCATTACAGTTAACACAGGCATCTAGAAAACAAAAGCAAGCTCAGCCCTCGCCTTTAGCACACCCAGAAACCCCCCCAACATTGCATCCATGTGTGCTCCATAACAAAGGGAACTCTTCAAACTGGTGCAAAAGTAAAGTGGCTAAATTAGGAGCCAGCGCCACATCACACCAGTTGCCCCAAAGTCATGACTGAGCAGTTCGAAGACCAAGGCCATGATTGCAGACCTACGCAAGATGGCCGCCGTGACCCATCAAAGTTCCCTTTTCTAACAGATCCCTGATAATGACAACCAGACTTGCCAGGCTGCAGTTTGTAAATACAATTGCACACATCCTGTCTTTAAGTGGCTGCCGGCTGGAGATAAACAGGCCCGGCCAATTTGACTTTCTATTTTGAGTATACTCGCAAACAATGTATAAAACTTAATTGGGTGCGAACTGTAATCTTCTGTTAATCTTTTTTACTATGTATACATGTATTATTTTTGCTCATCGGGCCATTACTAGACACTTTGGTTGTTGTTTTTAAAGCTGGGGTACCTAACTTTAAATAAATAATACATTTTGTTTGTACCAACAGAAAGGTCTTTATGTTATTAGAAAGCATTTTACCTTTTGCACACTAAGAAAGCCATGCAAGTCTGTAGTTGAGGCTTACGGCGGAGAGATGATTGGCTGAAAAAGCTGATCTAAAGATGCATTACAAGGCCATTACAAGACACTTTGGTTGTTCAATTGTAAAGTTAAAGTAGCAGCACTACTTCCATGAGTTGTATTATTTTTAAAGCTGGGGTGCCAAACTTTTTGTTCATAAATAATACATTTTGTTTGTTCTCAATCAATCTATCACTCTCAACGTTTATATTTATAAGAGCGCCTTTCCTCACCACAAGGCACCGCAACGCTGCCTCACAACCCATATAAACATCATTGCATGAAATCATCAAACATTATCACAGACAGAGTCTTGGAGGCTGCTTTTCGGATTAATGCTGCTAAAATCTGGAACAGTTCTTCCTGAAGATGTGAGGACATGCCTCCTCTCTGACAATGTTTAAAACCAGGTTAAAGACGGTTCTGTTTAAAAGACTGTGCATACAACTGAGGGATTTTATATTTTTATCTTTCTTTTTAATGTTCTGTGATAATTTATGATTTTAATGCTTTCTTGTTTTGTTCAGCACTTTGAATTGCCTTGTGTATGAATTGTGCTATATAAATAAACTTGCCTTGCCTTGCCTTGCCTATATGGTGGCGATGCTTTTTAGTATTAGATTGACTGATTTTCCCAACAGCTGTGTTTGTTGGACTTTAAGACGCTATTTTTTTCAAGTCCCATGATCTCTGTGGTTTATGTAGCGATGCGGCCAATGTATTTAGTTTTATTTTGTTATAATGCACTCCTGGGATTTGGACATAGCTCTGTCGGCTGTGGATCTCCAGAGCTTCTGTGTTTATGTGAACAGCAGACAGAGAAGACACAGGGAAAGTGCAGGGAATTACATATGAACTTATTATTTTAAAGGTGTAGTTGGGATGGGAACTGGGATACATTTTATTGTCAACATATTTTGGAGTGCTTTTGCTCCATCAGCTACAGGTTAAGTGAATTGCTCCGACATGAAAACCTTTGGCTTTTTTTTCAAGTGTGGCCTTTATGAGGAAAAAACATTCACTTTGTTTTCCAATTCAAATTTAGCTAGGGTTGGTTTTTATAAAGGCACGCTAGTTAGTCCAGTAAGTTCTGTAAATCTGTCCGTTTTTACTGCCTCCACTCCACCATCTAATTTTGTCTAAGTTTACAGTATACACATGTCATACCTTATACCAACACTAGCCTAAGATCATAAACAAAATGTCTTCCAGCCAACTTCAGCTCTGTTAATACACACATGCTAGTCATACTTTTGAAGCTTAGAACTTTTAGAATTTAGTATCTAGTGAGAAAATAAACGATTATAATTCAGGTGACTTTAGGAGGAATCCAAAACCAGTTTAACCAACAATAACAAACAATTTTTATTATTTTTTTTTTACCCAAGGCGGTTGGTCCCTACTTTTTCCTCATTGCGATGTAACTGACTTTAATATCAAACAAGTGATGCAAATATCTACATAAAGTTCTATTATGTCATGTGAAAATCTTTTGGCAGTCTCTTAAATGAAGTATTGACAATGGGGAAGGAACCTATAAGCTTTTTGATTCTGCCTTCTCCTTTTGAGCTTTCTTTCTTGAACTTGAAGTACGTGTGCCAGTAAAAAAAAATACATTGTAAAACTGCTCAAATAAAAATACCATTACTCTAAAAACAATAACCTGTGATATGCTCTTTAATACCATTTTGTCTCTAACCTGTTCCCCCTGGTGAGCTACTTTATCAGGACAAAAAGCGAGTCAGAGATGTAGTGGAGAGTGGTGAGCCAGTCTTGGATGGGGTACAATTAGATTAGTCATGTGCAAAAGTTGTGGATATGTGAATCTTAGCATTTGAAATACACACCATATGGAGACCACTGATCTATGGCTACATTATGAAAAGCTACATTTCCCCCCCAATTATCCAGAGTTTTGTGACATTTACCATTTATCTTCAACACATGCAGTATGACTTTTGGGTTGGAAGGAAGCAGCAGTGATTTCCTAATAATAATACTTCATTGTCAAAAATAAATCGTTAGGCCTTTTTTTCTCTTGCTTTGAATGCTGTTCCCCAAAAAAGCTCTTTGTGAAATAACTTACAACACACATCAAAAAGCTGTAGTTCTCGGCTGAAGTCATCTTGTGTGGGATGCGGCGCTGCTCGTTTTATCACGCTGCCATTTCCTTTTGTTATGAGTGGAAGCACATGTGACAAACACAGCACAGCGCGGGGGTTCAGCCTGTCAAGTACATGAAGTAAATAGTATGGCGTTAATAACAAGGGGCTGTACTTTTATCACACGCACTGAAGCAGAAGTGACAAACGCTTTATCGTGCGCCGTCAGGACAAAGGCAAAGTAGGATGTTCACGCCCCACTCTCCTCTGTGTCTGACAGCTGCCACTCTCTGCACACACTGGACCAGGAGCTGTACGACGGCCAGGCGGACGCAGACCGCCCAGACGACTTTGAGT